GAATTGTGAGCCCGTGAAGGTCGCGGCCTCTGCGCGTGCGATGCGATCGCACATGTATCCGCGGGCTCCGAGTTCAGCGCATGCTGTTCGCATATCCTCAGTGGCGTGAGCACGACGATGGTATTGACGAGATGAACGATCTTTTCTTGCAACGGCCGCACAGCTGGGCCCGCTGCTGTCCCGGGCGCGCGCAGCCAGCGCCGGTGAACAACATGCGGGTGCCCCCGCGCTTGTAGACAGCACCTCAGGCGACGGCCTGCCCGAGCAAGCGCCCGCGGCCGCAGCGCGCGCCTGCCCCCTGCACTCGCTTTTGAGCGTAGTGGGCGTCCATGTGGCCACCTGGCCTGGGTCCGCGCCCGGGCCGCGCGCCTCGGAACCACCTGGCGAAATCGGCGACGTACTGCTCGAGTTGTAGATGACATCTCTCGGCAGTGCCGCTCGACGCAGCAGCTGACTGACCCCGCGGTGACAGGCTGACCCGCGCGGCTGTCAGGTGGCATCCACATGGCGCCCTCGCTGTAGATGGCCTGGTACACCTTCGCCTGCAAGGCCTTCGCGGCGAAGTCCTGATCCAGGGCCGTCGGCTTGCTGCCGCGCACGGTATTCCGCCGCCACCAGGTCATCAGAGCGTTGTCTACCATGGCCTGGAGGATCGCGGATACAAATGTCTCCTCAGTGGTGCTGTGGTCAATGCCCCTGGTGTTCCAGGACATCATAAGCGCATGAGCATCCACAGGAGCAACCAACCCCGCGCTGCTCGAAGCAGGTTGCCCCGCAATCGGCTCTGTATCGACAATATCCTTGATGACGTGCCGCAAGGGGGTCCTTTCGCATCTGGGATTGGCCGCGATGGTGAATGCTCTAGCTCCATCGGCCTCCGTTGCCACGTCGCACTCGTCGACCTTGATCGCTAGGTGTCCAGATGGTGTTCTTACTAAGTCCATCTCCCCAGTGCCTTTTCCAAGGAGGAGCCTGTGCATATCCGCGCCTGGGATGCCCATGTTTTCGTGATTTTTCTGAAGGATTACAATGGCCCGCACGTGTGCCATGCTCCTCAGGCCCAGAATTACGGGCAGGTTCTCGCCGGACCCCTCGGCCACGTTGGCTGAATCGGTGGCCAGCTCGGCAGTCGCTGGTTGTCCCGCAGGGTTGCCCCTGTATGTGCTGGCAATTCTGCAATGCCCTGATGACCTGCACGCTGCAGCTCCAGCGCCCACTCCGGTCGCGCACAGTGGTCTGCTCAGGCTCAATCTTTTTGTATCGTGACCTTTTTCCTTCATCCACACGACTACGACCAGCAAGCTGGAACTGCATGGCCCCGCATAGCCCGCGCGATCAGCCTGCGAGGCCAGCTCGCAATCATCAGTGGCAGAATCAGCGACCACTCACACAGTGAGGTCTTGAACGCCGTCGGGGCCCACCTTCTGCCTTGAACTGTAGTTGGGATAGAGCCCTCGGAGCAAGCGGCGCCAAATAAACATGCTGTCGCATGCTGCTCGCATCTGCCTCCGAGGTTGGATTGCTTGAGAGAGCCAGGCCCGACATGCTCAGCGCGCCCTGTGCATGCGCGCAGCGCCTCGCCATTGTCACATGGCATGCCGACCACAGAATGGCCTTGTCTCTTCATCTCCCCGAAGCCCCAGCCCCCACGGATGCCCGAACAGCCGCTCGTCGGGGGGCGGAGCTGAGACCGAGAGGCCTTGAGACATGTGCTGCAACGCCAGCGATTCGATATGAATTCCAAAGCGTGCTGGGGGCGGTCAGGGCGCCCTGCGCGGGCGCGCCCCTCTGGGACGTGCTCGACCTCCTTTAAAACTGGCCTCGGCAAAAGAGGGCCGCGGCCAACTTGCAGACAGCGCCGGCGATCAGCAGCACTTGGTCCAGCTCTTGAATCTGCTCGGCCGCAGCGGCCGCGTGGAGGCGAACGCCTGCTTTCGCGGCCTGGTTAGCTTGGCTATTCCCTCTCCGAAGACTCACCTCGCTCTCGGGGGCCCCCTGTTAATCCAGGGGCAAATGCGCCTTGGCCCCGCTCGCCGGCTGGATCAGATGCGACGCGCGTTGCCCGTGCAGGAGCAACCCAGCACAAGGCCTCTGATAATGCATGTGGTCACCCAAGGGCCCTGTAACCTGCGCGCACACATTCGCGCAGCCCGCGCGCATATCACAGCTGCCTTCGGCAATCTGACTGGCGCAACTGAAGGCGGCAAACTCACCGGCCTGGGGCGCTTGGGGGAGGCCAGCGTACGCCGCGCGAAAAACACCCCCATGCACTCGACAGCCCGATCGAACGCCGCAGGGCCCCAGGCCGCCCGATTGAGCTCAGGCACGACACGCTTAATATAACTGCCGCCCAAGAACAACTCACCCATCGCTAACTGCTCCTCCTCCGCGACCCCCCCCCATTGCCGCGCGGCCGTGCGCCTCCGATCGGGCCTGGGCCAGAAGTCGCCAGCGCGTGGGAAGACAGCGCGCGCGCGCAAAAGCGGGCCCTGGGGGGCGCCCTCGTCCACGCAACCGACACATTGCTTGCATTTGTTAAAAAGCAATCTCTGCGCGCCCCCCAGCGCAGGCATAGCAATGCCATAGACGATGTACAAGCGCGCCTGGCTAATGTCGGCCAAGAGGGCACATTGCAGACTCCAAGTGGCATCCAGGGCGACGCGCGCGCAATCTCGCCCAGCTTGCGTCGCAACCCACGATGCGGATAGCCGGCTTGCCCGCCGGGAACCCCTACTGGAGCGCAGTGCCCGCGTGAGCACATCGCAGCGCAATCTGGGCACCTCCAGGGCCGATTTTGCGGGCGGCGACCCTCTCCAGACTCCGAAGGACAGCTTAACGTAACAAAATCTTCGGAAGCCCTGGGCTCACCTCCGCAAGAATCAGCTTTCCCCCAAAATCGTTGTTTTCCATTGTGACCCAATCTGAGAACTTCCACTGGGACCTCTTCAAGCGCATGATCATCGCTGAGAAAAGCTCCGTGACATCTCTCCAAGCAGTCGGGGCCCGCTTCTGGGAAAATGCCCCCCGCGTCTCGCGGGCCTCCGCGAAGCTGAAGCACCAGCGACGCGTCCCTGAGCGGGCGCGCCAGCGCTCCTTAGAGTGCCTGACAGGGGGGGGCACCGCCGCGAGCCACGTGTGCTCGCCCTCCAAAATGCGCAGGCTCGTGAGCGACCTTCCTTTGCAGCTGGGCCCCATGGCAGGGCCGGGTTGCTGAGGGCCCCATGGGGCTTCCCATCCGAGATCTCATGGACCTCGGAAGCGTGCTAACCGCCAGGGGGGAGGGGGGGGGTCCGACGCCCAGATTTGCGCGGCGTGGTAAGCGATTTGCTGCGTCATGGTTCTGACATTCCTCGTCTTGGCCATCAGGTTGGCCATGCGAACATTGAACTTGGTCTCTCTGATGGCCCCCCCTGACATACGCCTTCCTCCTAGACCTGCCCGCGGTGAAATCAATGCCTGGATCCACTGCGCTGTCGGCCGAGGGCCCAGCGCGACCCCTTAGGAAAACGCGGAGCTGCTTGGCGGCCGCACCGCCCGATCACACTGAGTTCTCCTGGCCAGCCTTGGACAGGGAGATCGAACAGCCGCACTCGTGGACCAGCGCCTGCTCCAACTGCCTGGAACCTTCTTCGATGCCGGACAAAACTTCGCCCGACGTCCCCGTGGAGTCCAGACCAGAGTCGCCGGTGATCTGCGCTAACACAACGCCCCTGGGAAGCATCGAATCACTGAGCAAACCCAGAAGGGAAACGCGCACCAGGGGCGCGGCCATGGATCAGCCCGCCACTCCACGACGCGCGAAAAAAAGATAGGCCCCGCCACAGCAGAAGCCATGCTGACAAAACGCCCGCACCGGTAGGCATGCGCAGAGCTGGGTGATGGGGGCGGGGGACCAAATCTCCTGGATTCCAAGACTAACCTCTCATGCGAGAAATGTTCGTACAACTTGGTCATGGCCCACTGAAACATGGCCAGGGTGTCGCCCTTCCTGGCGATGACCCCAGCGCGGGCCGCCCGCCGCCAGACCGCGCCCGCGGCAGACGACAGAGATGACAGAGAAGAAGCCGCGCGTGCCTAGCCTCCCACTCCGCAGCCAGGTCCCTTCTGCATTCCCCCCGCAGCCTGAACATTGACGCGAATAACCCGATGGGTCCGCCCCCCCCCCCCCCCCCGTGGCTTTAGACAGCGTCGCTGCCTAGTGGAGCTGGCGCGGCAGGCTGGAGAGCGCTTCGAAGACGGCGAAAAAGAGGCTCACCATTTGAAGGGCGGACTCGGACAGCCGCGAGCAGCTCCTCATGTGAAACGCATCCAAGCCTGGGCCGCGGACGATTTGAACGCAGCCGAAACTGACCTACTGCGATCGGCCGAGACCACGGGCAGGGGCTGGCACGCACCCCCAAACATGCGCTCTGGGGAAGTCGCTCCCCGGATCTTGGCCCAACTGGAGGCCCCCCCTGTCAAATGACTGAGAGGGTCCGAGAGCACAGGGCCCCCCGCCGACAGGGTGGTAGTCGGATTCCACCCAGGGGCCTCCGTGGGAGTTAGATGAACAGCTCCCCCCCCCTCCTTGATCCTGGTGAGCAGCCAATATTTCGACCCAGCCCCACCTTCACGCCGGGCTTCGGACGGGAGCTTGGCGACAGATTGCTGCGCTGACCCCGGCAAGTCCTCGGCGGCCCCCAGCCACTCGCACTTGCAAAGGAGGGTAACCAACTCATCGCGGCCACCGACAGCCAAGGGGCAGGCGCGGACAAGAGGCTGGACCGCGCTGGGAAACTCACTCCAGTCATCGGAGCTGATGTTGGCCACGAAGGGGGGGGATTCAAGGTGCCCACAATGGTCTTTAAGGGCCTCCAGAAACTCCCCCCGACACTCGATCACCCAATCCTGAGGGCGGCGCGCAACCCATTTTCCCGCAAACCTCTGGTGGTTTCTAAACGGAGGGGACGTATCATTGATAGCCGGAACCCACTGCAATTGCAATGCCTTACTGCGTGCACCAACGTAGGCAGCGTCGCCAGAGCCAAATCGCACAACTCTTCCTCGGCAAGATTGGCCCACTGAACGCACGCCCGATCCACCATGTCCCGCGCCGCAGGGGTCTTTCCTGCAAGCACAATTCCGAGGCGCCCATCGGCAGCGTCGGCTACGCTGCTCCAGTCTGGCGGCGCGCGTCCAGCTCCAATCGGCCGATCCCTCGGAATCAGCGGCGGCTTGCGACAGGCCAGCGCGCGCAGCTGGGACAGCCCAGGACAAAGTTGAAGACGCACTGGCTTGCGCGGCGACAGCTGCGCCACTTGCGCGACGCTCGTCTCCTGGATGTAATTCGCAATCCCCCCCCCCCCGCGCAGACGAAATAAGTCAGGGAACTCAAGCCGCCCGGGGACCTGTAAGTCCCAGAGGCAGTTGGTTCGATCAGAACCCCATCGAGCTTTTCAGTGAACCCAGATTCCAAGAGCATCTCAGGAGACATGTTCCAGCCCCCGTCCAGGGGCCGCCCGATGCCCCGACATCCTCACAATAGCTTCTGCAGTATTTAGGATGTCGAGGTTCCTGCTGGACACGCACCCCACTATCGCACAGGTGGGTCAACGAGATCAAAAACGGCAAATCCCCAGGACGGTGGGCCAGGGCGTAGACGAGCCTCCCAGCGCACAGAGAAACACCCCACAGAGGCTCGTGCAGGCCCAGGAAGTCCGTCGCGAGTATACCTGCCCCCCAGAGGAACCATCACCTTGACCGACAGTAGCGGGGGCAGGATGGCCTTCCAGCCGCGCCGACTGCACCGCGAAGTCGCCTCCGTCAAAGCCGCGGGCTTCACGATGCGGTGCCCTTGCAGGCATATGGTGTGAGCCGTCGCGTTGCTGAGCAACTCCTTGAAGGAGTTCCAGCACGCGGCGTTGCAGCTTTCACCAAAACCTGCTGGACTGGGCGGCCCTGGGGGGCCCGCAGAAACTCGAACGGGCTAGCGGCTCCAATGAGACTATGGGCCCCTGGGTGACCGACAGCGCATGCCGAACAGAAATCACACAGAGGAGAAGGGGGAAGCTTCCTCCAGCAGCCCCCGTCGGGCGGCGACCTCGGACTCGCTATCGCGCAGCCGCGGTCGCCGACGCCCCAGACGAACAGGATTTGGATATCGATCCCGCGCAAGGCGGGGGCGAGGAGGGGCAACCGGGCATAGCGCTCGCCAGCGATGGCGAGCGCTGCCCCGAAACGCGCGTCGGCGCGGTGGCCGACCTTGACAGTGTCGAGGCCCGAAGAGTAGACGGTGCACTGCCCTCCTGCGGTCACGACTGAAGCCCAGCCTTGACCGCGCCACAGCAACTGGAACGAACGCGGCAGCCCCTGGAGACATCGCGACCATCTCCGCCACGTTTCATGCTGCTTCTCTCAATGCCATCCCAACTCTTGGTCCTGACTGGGCGAGCCCCTGCCCGCGCCCTCAGCAGCCGCCGCAGCCGCCGCAACTGCCTTGGCCACGCTCTTGGGCCGCGCGCTGTCTTTGCCTCCCCCAGCGGCCCCTGCCCGGGCTGCCGCCGCTGCCTGCTTGCCAGCCGGTAGGTCAGCAGGTCCTGGAGGATGCGCGCCGCTCTCGCCATCGCCCTTCTCTTCTTCATCGGCGGCCACGCCTGCTCCGTCAGCAGCGCGCATCTTCTTCGCGGCCAGCCTCCCCTGCAATGCCTTGTGCTCGGCCTGCGGGGGCTCCCCCCTCTAGCGGACCTCGGCTGGACGCCGGGCGCCTCGTCTTCTACGCTAGCCGCATTCGCCTCAGCTGGCGGGACACCCCGCTTGTCATGGTCCTTATTGCCAACTTCGCGACAAGAAGCATGCTCCCCCGCAGAGGAGGCCGCTGGTGCGTCGCGTCAGGCCTCGTGGCATTCCCGATTGCAACGCTTGCGCCTGTGCTCCTCATCTAGGTTTCCCCAATCCTTCTCAACGAGTCCTGCCTGGACCACATCTAGCGACTTGTAGTCCGCCCTGGTCAGGTGCGCGTTACTGGGGTTGCAGCTTGGGCCCACCTCGCGGCCTTCGCCGCCCCCGCGGGGCCAGGCCCATGGGGCCCTTTCGAAATTAAAGCTCCTCGAAGGGCGCCCCATCGGGCAATTCGGCCAGCGGTCCGCGAAGTGCTCGCATCCGCAGACCTCCTCTCGGCGCGTCCTCCAACCCGCAATGATGGCTCTTTCGTCGGCCTTCCTTCCCAGCGCTTCGACTGTCTTGGCGCCGCCTCACCTGTTGGAACGGGTGATGTTCCCGTTTCTTGGCCCCGCTGCACATGCCACAATGACCAGCGATGGCGGACTTGGTGCTCGGGCCTGCCACCGCCAGTGCGCCATATCATCGCCCGGCACCTGTTGGCGAGCAGCGCCGTCGTTCTGTTCGCCAACGCGACTGCGTCAAGGCTGGCCTTCGGGCTCACCCGAGCCCTCGCCATCCCGACGCGGGTTGCCCCGCGACCGCGCCCTTCCCGGCGATCCTCTCGGATCTCCTGGACGCGGGCGCTGCGCGCCACTTGGGCGGGCACGCGAGTGCCTGCGTGAGCGACTCCGCCGGTGATGGCCCGGCAGATTGCCCCCAACTTCCCATTGCTCATCATCGCCCTTGGCGCGCCCCACAAGTCCACAAACCTTGCGGCGCGAAGGGCTCCCATGTGGCGCAAAGGCGAGGTGAGAGCCTTCACTGTGTCTGAGTTCGCAATGGGCCCGCTCAGAAAAAGGCGTCGCGCGGGTTGCCCCGCAAATCGTCGTCGTCGCAAGCTGCCCTGCACGCGGGGGCCCCAATCACCTGCGGCCGGGGCGACGAGTGAAGTTCCTCCCCCGTAGCTGGCATCGCGCCATTATCAGAAACACGCGGCCCGCACCCATCAGAAGCGCCGGCGCCCCCGCCGTCTCGCAGTCCGAGTCGGCGGGCGTTTGGCGCTCCACGATGATCTCTACGCGCGCCGGTTGCCCCGCGATCGGGGTGCCCAGCCAGCCTGCGAGATCGATCTCGTCGCGGCCGACGTAGACCTCCTCGAAGAGCTCCTCGGCGCACCCCTCGAGGGACACGCTGGCGCTCGCGCGCCTCGCGGACGCGAAGTGGACAGCGGCTGCGGAATTGCTCTCTCATTCGGCAAGAAGGGCTTCGACATCGACGCACTGAACGTCAGAATCGGTTTGAGCTCAATGCACAGACGGACCCCTTCCTCCCCCGTCGCCTTGGGGGCGCTCGCGACGAACGTGCTGCGGTGCTATGGCAGATGGCATATCCCATGGTTTTTTTTCCCATCGGCGTCCTTCGGGTTACCCCTGCGCCCTTCGCGTTTTTCCTTGAGGTGCGCCTACGGCCTCTGCCTTTCCCCATGAAGATGTCCTCGTGTTGTGGCCCCGTAAGGGAGGCTAGGAATGTCGGCGTGCCTCTACCATGTAACTGTCGTCGTTTGCCCATGCCCCTACCCGTGCGCTTTTGCCCAAACGCACGTCGAGATGCGCGTCGCTGCCTTCGAACTGGTTTCTTCGTGCGGCGTCTCCATCGGCGCTCGTGCTTCTGGTCGCCCAGGCGCGTCCATTGCGCCTGTTGCTCTTCAAAAGGTGCGCGGGCATATCGGAATAATTCAGGTTGCCAGTTCCTTCATCCGACGAGGCGCCAGCATCGGCGCCCGAATCAAAATCAGATTCTGCAGGTTGCCCCGCCGAACCCATGAGGGCAGTGGCTGGGGCAGGGGCCGCCGTTGCCGACGGCCCCGATATCGGGCCCAGGAGTCTCGCGACCTCATGGGCCGGCCACCTTGCTGACTCCATGTAGCGATTGCCTCGTTTGGTTGTGGATCGCCATTCCAAGCGACATTGACAAATTGCCCAGCGTGAGTGTCATTATGAAAACAGCAGCGCGGTGGCAGTGGCTAGATACACCACCCATGTTGCCAGAGGTTCGCTCGGCAATGTGGGCGCAAGCTCTCGTGCGCTCCAGTAAGGAGCAATTTAGTGGCGCGGTGGATGCAATAGCTGCTGTGCGCGCGAAGTGCCGACACCTAGGGCCCTTAACAGCTTGGCTGTCAGGGCCTGAGAATTTGGGATGTTGAACCCCGCGGCGTCAGCTTCGAAGCGCGCAATCTCGAAGCGGGCCAGCGCCCGGTCGATCCGTTCTCCCGCGTGGACGCGAAAGTCAATGAGAGCCGTCCCCGAATTAAGTTGTCGTTCCTCTTCCAGGTTCTCGAACTTAGTGCTGATGAGGGACATTATGTGGGTGGCGCCATCGGTGCGCCGACCACCGAAGCTCACTCCAAAGTTGTTTACTGCGGGGGGGGCCCTCAGTGTTATGGCCCTTGCGAGACCTCCAAGGCCACGCTGTAGAGCGGCGGCCTGTTGGGATGGGGGTCATGGTGCCTGTGGTCACGCTGATCCAGGCCAGACATGTACCTCGCGAGCGAACTCGCGGAAAAGGTACGTTACCGGCAAGGTCCCCGTGAGGGCTGGTACTGCGCGCTTCGCCTGCACCGCGCTGCATGTCCAACAGCGCATCCGATGGCGACACAGCGGAGGCCAAATATAACGATGCCAAGCCATTGGCCCCGTAGCTCGTTGATGGTTATACGCGGCTGTTGGTTACGCGGTGACGTTGTCGTTAGTCTGCGAGGAGGCGCAGGCGGCACGATGTCATGACGCACGTCGCCATGCATAATACGTTTGGATAAATCGCCAGCTAGCGTAGGTGGGTGGACTTCAAAAGTATAGTAGCGCTGAGATGTACGTCTCAGGTGAGAAACCTCTGCGTGAGCAGAAGTAGCAGTGCAAGTGTCCTTGCGATGGTATCGAATTCCTCCACGTAAAGCCAATTCGCCCGGATGTTCCACCATGTCGGTAATCCACCAAATAATGCCGTGGTAAGCATTGAATAAAGCTGGAGCTGACCACCAACGGCCAGCTCCGCTACCAAAATTAAAGCGGGTCGGGAGGCCCGACCAGATGCTTCGCGTAGGGCGAAGCATACGTCCAACCCTGTCGTATCGTGCAAACGATAGTGCCAGAAGTAAGAAAAAACTGCGTGATCGGCGATGATACATCTCAAGAATAAAGGATGGAACCTTTTCTGTCTCGATGTAAAGTAGCGGGCCGCGGCGCGGCCCAGTCAGATAGGTGGCCGGTCATTGGGCCAAAATGGCCGCGGACAAACGCTCGATACATCTCGCACTGGCCCTTCCTCCTTCAGAATCCCTGGCGCGCGGAGCGCGCCTGGGGCAGCGCCGGAGGCGCAGGGCGGTCCAGCGCCAACCCAAGAAACCGCGCGGAGCGCCGAAAGTTCATGTTGATGCCGATCTCTGTACTTCGAAACCAGGAAGTGGATCACAGGTTGAACCTTCACTGCCTGAGCTTTTCGCAGCAAGGGCCCCATCCTTGGAACCGCCGAGCCTCTGCGCACCGCAGGCCAGCTGCTTGCCGACCGGCAGCCGCAGGGAGCCGACGACCTCCCCGCGGTCAGGGGTGGGGCCGTTCAGCAGCGACGAGGCCCTCTCTGGCTACACGAAAGAGCGACCCCAGGCAAGCGTGACCTTTGGTGCGCAGCTTTCGGGGGGCGCGGGGAGAATCCGAGTATGCGAGCCGTCTCTATCGCTCCCCATTCCCCCGTCTGGGGTCCCCAGTGTGCCCGCATCAAAGGCCACTCCGGCGAACGTCAACTCTTACGTGTGACCGACCTCTGGAGCGCGGAGTTCAGCGCGAGGCCCCGGGGCTTCAGCGTGGACCAGTTCAGGCTGCGGCTACCCGCGGGGCCGGCCGCGCCCCCGGGGGCCACGGCGTCGGCGGAGGGCTGTGGGCCTCCCGGCACGGTGTGGCCCCTCTGCAGGAGCAGGGAAAAGCGACGCCACCGCTGCAAGGGTCCACCAGGGGGAGGAGCCAGGGGGTGCCCCCCTGGTGGTATGGTCCCACGCTCTCGCTCGAGACGTCCCCTCTGTCAAGCTCGGGGAGACATCGTGGACCTCCTCGATGGAGGTGGCCCCCCCGGTGGTGGTGGTGGTGTTGCTTCTCCTTCCCCCGACCTCTGGTACAGGTCGATGTTCACGTAGGCCGAGTCCACGAACTCGGCCTGGAAGCACCGCTCGGCCGCCACCGAGAAGGAGGTCTCGCGCGCCTTCCACTGCGGGGCTGCCAGGCCAGGGACCTCGAGCCAGGGGGTCACCTTGGCCCCGAAGGTGTCGCCTTCAGGGTCGTCTCGGGCGCACAGCGTGATGACGAGGCGGATCTCGCCGCCCCGCATCAGGCGCAACCCCTGTGCGTCTGCCACCTTCACCCGCAAATTCGTGCTCGACGCCGCTGGATGCGCGGCAGTGGCCGCGGCGAAATCGCCAGCGCGCATGTCGCCCGTGGCTGCCGCCATGCCGCACGGATGTGCATGGCTGCATCACACGTGTCACCTCGGCCGCCGTGCTTCTCTCGCTCTCTCTCTTTCTCTCTCTATCTCTTTCGTTATCTCGTTTTTTTGTCTCTCTCTCTCTCGCTCTCTCGCTCTCTCCCTCTCTCCCTCTCTCTCCCTCTCTCTCTCCCTCTCTCTCTTTTTCTCTCTTTCTCTCCCTCTCTCTCTCTCTCTCTCTCTCTCTCTCTCTCTCCCCCCCCCTCAATCTCTCTCTCTCTCTCTCGCTCTGTCTCTCTCTCTCTCTCTCTCCTCCCTCCCTCGCTCCCTCCCCTTTCCGATCTCAAAGGCGAGAAAGCGCACCGCCGCCGCTGCCGCCGCCGCCCGCCGCGGATCCAAGCGGCCTGGCCCTCGAGCCGAGCAGCAGTGCGAGAGCCGCGCGCGCCGCTCGGGCTTCAGCACATCTCGTGGCAGCAGCTGCCGCAGCATCACCGACAACAACACCTCAACAAAGAGAAACACCATCACGACAACCTCCACCCTGGCTCCTCCCCGCTCGCGCTCGACGCTGTTCCGCATCACTCGCACACCGCCCCCCTGAAATTCCGATACCTCGCCACGGCTCTTGCCAATCGGTTGCCCCGTGTATGCGCTGCCGTCCGACTTCATCCTCCCTGGCTCCAGGTGAAGGCACCTCTTCTCGGTGCACCTCTTCTGCTCTGCCGGCCCTCTTCTGCCGCTGCCCGAAAGTGACGCCAACGACCCAAGCTTGCTCGCCAAGTCTGCCACCGAAGTAAATGGAACCACAGCAAGACGCGGCTGAGCGGGTGGACGAAAGAAGCACCACAGGATGCACTCGCGCGCGAGCGCGCGCGCGCGCCTGAAGCATTGAGACGGGCACGGACCAGAATGCGATGCCAACCAGCAGGCCCCCCTGCGCTGAGATGTGTGGCGTCGGGTCTGGCTAAGTGAGTGGAGCGAGAGGAGGACGCGATGAGAGATTGTGGAAGGAGAGAACAGCGGGGAGGGAGCAGGCAGAAGGAGAGAGAGAGAGGGGGAAGTTTGAAGGAAGAGAATAATGAAGGAGGAGAAGAGGGGTGGATGAAGGGGGGAGGGACGGCAAGGGAGAGAGGGAGAGACGAGGAAGAAAACGAGGGAGGAACGGGATGGAGGAGCGGGAGAGGGAAGAAAAACGGATGAGGCAAGGATCTGAATTGAATGGAACGGGTCCTTGCAAAAGCGGGCCATGGACCCAAAGGGCTTTCCTGAAACACACACACAAACACACACACACACACACACACCGAGTCGTTGTCTGACTGTCCTGGCACCGCGAAGAACCTGCAGGACAGGTTCCCCTCAAGACCCCTTCCTGCACGGCGAGGGATCTAGCACAAATTGGCACGCCCGGAGTGGGGACGGACAAAAATGGGGACCATGCCCACAGGCACCTGCCGTCCAAATCCGACAGCAGCCGCGCTTGTGCAGGCAACGGCCGCCCCAACTGGACAACGTCGGCGACGGCACCCACAGCAAGCTCTGCTCAAGACTGGAAGCCTCCTACATGGGGTCCGAATAGATGGGGCCAGAGGATCGTGCCGCATTGCCGATGCATCGGCGATGCTGTCGATACATCGACAATGCATCGGTGACGTCAACGATGCATCGGCGCCGACGGCGTGGAGAAGATCGGGCCCCACGCTGAATCCCACCAGCCCTCTGGGCGTAGGTGGTCTAGAGCAGATCCTCTTCCACCCCTCCCTCTTCCCCCTTGGGGAGGGGTTTACCCCTCCCCCTACCCCCTCCCCTGGACCTGGACGGGGGGGGCCGCTGGTAGTTAGAGCGTCCCAGATGGCCCAAGACGGCTCCAAGAGCGCCTCAGAGAACCCAAGATGAGCTCCAAGATGGCTCAAGATAGCGCAAGATCGCTCGAGATGGCTCCTAAGATGGTTCCAAGAAGCCCAAAGACGGCCCCAAGATAACTCCAAGTGGCCAAACAGCTCCCCAAGGAGGCCCCGAAGAGGCCAAAATCGTCCCAAAACCTAAGGAAAATCAATGATTTTTGCTTTCTCGCCTTTTCGCTTCCGATGGCCATCCGAGGCCTGGAGATGGCTCCAAGATGGCCCAAGAGGGCCCCAAGAGAGCCCCAAAAGAGCCCCAAGACGGCCCCAAGAGCGCCCAAGAGCACTCCAAGAGCGTTCCAAGAGGGGTCCAAGAGGCGATTTTAGGGGCTTCCGAGGGGGGACGCTAATTCACCCCCCCCTCTTGTTTGATCGACTCCCTCCAAGATGGCCCCAAGAAGCGCCCAGGAAGCCCCAAGAGGTCCCAAGATGGCCCCAAAATGGCCCCAAGAGGCCCCCAAGAGGCCCCCCGGAGGCCCCCAAGAGACCCCCAAGAGGCCCCAAGAGCCCCCCCAGATGCACCCAAGATGCTCCAAGAGGCCTCGGCGAGAATGCCTAATCATTGATTCTACACAGGTTTTAGCCACATGGAGGCCTCTTGGGGGGGGGCACGGATTAAGATGACTCCAAGAGCGTCTGGGAGAGCCCAAAATGACCTCCAAGATGGCTCAAGATATCCCAAGATGTCTCATAATGGCTTCCTCTGTGTGCTGCCCACTTCTCTGATCGAGGCAATTCCTCTGGGCATCGTTTCTGGATGGGCTGGTGGGGATTCGCGAAGCGACAACAATTGCATCGCCGGCCCGCTCTTCTTTGTCGGCCGGCCACTCGGTCTGAAGAAAAATTGCTCGGCCAAGGCTGGTCCGCCGGCGAAAAGCCGGGCGCCCTCTTCATCAGGGGAGGCGAGCGGGGAGGGATGGCGAGCGGGAGGTGCGCGGGGGGGTGGGGTGGGGGGGGGTCGAGGATCCTCAGAACGTGTGCTAGTGGCAACGCCTGCTCTGCTCGTCCACCGAGGCCGTTCAATGCGCCGCGGGCGGCGCACCGAGGGCCGACACAGGCTGCGCGCTAGTGGCGGAGCCAGGTGGGGTACGTACAAGCTTGGGCTGACACACGTCCTGACAACCATCGAGAAGGGATGGGGGACCAGCGCTGGGCCTCGGAACGGGTTCGGCTTCGACATGCGACTCGGATGCGTGAGGGACTCGTCGGACCATCTGCTCGGATGGGGTTGAAACCTCAGACTCCCGCGGCACCCTGCAGGTAACCGGCACACGAGCCATTTCAGGAAGGAGCCATAGGGAGTCTGCTGGCGGACGAGAGCAGGGACAGGCGAAGCACCCTGCCGTTATCCACGGGTTGCTCGCGCACCAAGGGCCAGGGCCTCCGACGACACGATATTTTCCGCCCCGCGGGCCCCCTGTGAAATCCCGAAATCGTCCCCCGAAACCGTCGGCTTCCCTTGATGGGCCCTTATTATCGTCCCAGATCGGTCTCTGATGTGTTCGAACCCCCGGCTGGGCCAGAACAGACGAGCACGCCACGGCTGGAAAACTCAATATCTTCCCGAGGAAAAGAGGTCTTCGTAGGTCTCCACCCTTGGAGAGAAACGGTTACCCTTCGAGGTCCCAGGAGGCCTCCCCGCTGGTTTTGCCAGCGCCCCCCGTCCTCCCGGCGCTGGGAGCGGCCGCGTAGCGGAAAAATTGCCTGGCGGAGACGATGAAACCAGCCGCGCGCAGCAGATTTCACACCCGCCCTTTGAGACGCCCCCCTTCGTCCGCCTCGATCCCTCCCCCCTCTCCCCCCTCACTTCTCAGATGGAGGAGGGAGAGGAGGATGATGGGGATGAGGATGCGGATGAGGATGTTGGTGAGGTTGATGGTGATGACGATGATGAGGATGATGATGACGATGATGACTTTTTCCCCTCAAGGACCGACGGCAATGAGAGATGACCACCGATGCAGTTAGTCCAGTCCAGATCCATCTCTCAAGATGGGAGCTACACCAATAACTAAAAACTTCCTGCAGCACAACTGCGACAATCCCACTGAGTGCATACCCTGAGAGAGAGGGAGGGCCGATCAGAAGCTAAGCCCGTGGCCATGCGACGATCGAGGAAAACAGACCCTGCCCTCACAACATCTCTCTCCAGAGAGCAGGCGGAGCCTTGCGGTGCTTCATCGGTAACCTGGCGGCAGCAAAACTAAAGAGAAATAGTCGGCGGCCAGTGCAGCTGAAGCAAGGCTTGTCACTTGCCACAGCCAATGGACGCCGCAAGAGGCACTGTTTGGGGAAACGCGGGCCGCGCAAAGGACCCCAAGAGGAGCAGAGAGAGCGGCTTTCGGGGAACCCCGACACGGGCATCAGCAGAGAGCGAGGCCAAGCCCGCTGCCCCCAGCGGGGCACGAGGAGAACAGAGCAACAGGACGACATAATGGTACATGTACAGCGCGCGACTCCGCAGGTCCCAGAAGGGACAGTGAGCCACAAGCCCCAGGGGGGGAAAGGTATATAAGACCCCTACTAGGAAGAGGCAGACCAGGCACGAGCAACCCTGGGGTGTCGCCGAGTGCGCAAGCGGATGCGGCCTTTGAGGAGATCCATCGGCGACAGCCTGGACCCCGCACGGAAGCTAGCTTGGACAAAGAGGAATACATCCAAGAGGCTCGCACAGATTAATCGCTGCTCAAAAAACGGGGGAGGGGCAATAAAGGTTAAACATCGGAACCAGGACTCTTCGCTAAATTAGCCAGACGAAGGACCCAACCATATGCAGGTGTGAGTACCGCAATTGTGATTCCCGTTTTCGGTGGTGATCCCTATGGGGCAACGAACCGTGCTAGTGGCGTGCCGAAATGAATGGCGCGGTGCACAACGCGAACGAAAACGATTGATCTGAGCACGTAGGGAGACTGAGCGCGGGCGAATCTGAGCGCGAGCGCGTCTGACTGTGAATGAATCTGCGTGCGAGCGAATCTACGTGCATGAATGCGAGCATGCCCATGCACGGTGCAAGTGTATATGAATGCTACTAGTTTGTGAACGACTGCCTCTGAGTACTCGCGACGCCGGGCGTGGCCGCCGCAAGGAGCTCCCCCGGGACTCCCCGACGGCATCGCCCGCGCGCCGCGACGCCACCGCGAGGATCGCGCCCGCTCCCTCCCCTTCTTTTACTCCCTCTGTGCCCGCGCACTCAAAAGTCCAAAGCTGCGGGCGCAGCGCAGCGCGGAGTCCCAGCGACGCGCGCAGGTCGCCCCTTCGGTGGAGCTCCCTATGGGGCCACGAAACGTGCGAAGGGTGTGCCGAGACCTTCGGCGGCGCTCCCTGCGGGGCCACGAAACGTGCGAGGGGTGTGCCGAAATGGATGTGCGGGACGCATGCGGGCACACCCACTCGGACCTTCGGTGGAGCTCCGTATGGGGCCACGAAACGTGTGAGGGGTGTGCCGAAATGGGTGTGCGGGACGCATGCGGGCACACCCACTGGGACCTTCGGTGGAGCTCCGTATGGGGTCACG